CGGCCGGTGCAACACGCATCCCACGGCGCGGGACCTGCCCTCCCGCAGCCAGAGCCCCTCTTGCCCCCCCCCCCCCAAAATGTCCCAAAACTGAGTCAGCCGAGTCCGAAGCCGCGCACCGCCTGGCAGCCACCTTCCCTCCCAGTTGGGCGCTGCCCGGACGCCCCGTCCCCGCTCACCCTCGCTGCCGGGGCTGGCCCGCAGGCTCCGGAGCGCGGTGCACAGCAGCAGCGGCAGCAGGCACGTCCAGCCGGGAGCCGGCGCCCTGGCGCGGCCGGCCCGGCCGCCGGTGCCCCGCGGCCCCATCCCGCCGCCCCTCAGCGCATGGGGCGGTGGCTCCCCCCGAGCGCTGCCCGGTCGGCTCGGGACGGGACGGGGCGGGCTGGCAGCGCGGACACACTCCACTCCTCTCCCGTCCAGCCGCAGCCGCGACTGGGGAGCCAGGGGGCGGGGATGGGGGAGGTGGCCCCAAGCCGCCGCGGAGACGCCCCCGACGGGGCGGACCCGCCGGTGTCGCCATCGAGTGCGGGAGCGGAGCTTCCCGCATCTCAGAGAGTCCCGGGCGTAATGGGAATCGCACCTCGGATACCTGCTGGGAGGGAAACCCCCCCCGCCCCAGATCCGCACTGCCCACGGGGGACAGCGGGCGGCGTTCCTGCGGCGAGCCCGCTGAGTGAGGACAGAGCTCCCCACAGCAGCCACGGGTCACGGTGCCAAAAACAAGCCACGCACCCACCCCACTCCCCCAGCTCAGAGTCAGAGCAGCCGCGGTTTCACAAGCCTGGCAAGCCTGAGAGGAAGGCTAGTCCCGGCCAGGAAAGCAAAAATGCCAGGAACTCCGTAATGAAGCCGGTAAAAGATGATTTTCAGGTGTATTTTACCCTAACTCGCCACCAGAGCACAGCTTTGGATCCAGCACAACTAGTCTTAGAGAAGCCTTCACTGAGGTTTTTTTTAACTCGTTAGAATCCTAGTTGTCACCCAGATCATCTCCCTATAAAAAATAACCCCCAAAAGAAATGAATTCCTGGGGATTTATTCACCCACATCAGTTCTTCCCTTGAGGACACTACCTCCAGATAAGACAATATCCAGCCTTGCAGGTGCACAAGCTGCAAGTCAAGGTTAAGCAGAAGCCTGCTCACCTGGTGCTGCCTCCTCCATTTCAGCCCTGTTTATTTATATTATAAAAACAGTAAGCTAAGTTGGAGTGCCTATAAAAGACTCTCTCTCTCTCTCTCCAAGACGCAAGGCTCAGAACCAGAGTTCCAAACAAGTTGCAATCAAAAGTACACAGTTCACAAAGGCAGTTTGAAGAGGACAAGTAGTATTCAACCAAGGAACATCAGACAACTTAGCTCTCTACACCACCATTGCTTATTTTTTAATACTTATTAGCTGTACAGTGTATTTCTCTGTGTCCTTGTACCACATAGAAACCTAAGAATCTCCATAAACATAGTCCTGAGCTGTTCGTGCATATTATTTTCAAAAGTGTTTGCTCCTTTCACAAGATTTCAATTTCAAGCTATTCAACATTTTTTACTGCCACCAGGAGGACAAGGCAAGGGCTCTGCTTTACATGAGGTGCATCAGCAAAGTTGCCAGCCAAATGAAGTGTGGCACACATCTCTTTATAGCACTGCTTCAGATCTTCACTATTCAAATACCCTACTGGTCTATAGTTCAGAAGACCTTAAGGTTTGCTTCCACATCACCCCTGTGGAAAGGCACATGGCTGGATCTTTAGCTGGAATAAATCACAGCTGAGAATGTCTGACCCCAGATCTTCATCAGATTTTGGAGGGGAAGTAGCTCCACGTGTTATAGTAATTTCTAGGGAACTGCCATCTGTAAAAGCCGTGGTAAGTTTTGCCATCCAGAAAGCAAGACAATGCAGGAAAAAAGAAACAACACCTTGCTGGCATAGTAAAAAGGATCAGATGGCAACGAACAAGTAAAATGTCAAGCTGGGTGGGCACCTTCCCTGACCAAGGGCCAACGCTGCTGAAGGCAGACAAGTCTCTTACCAGCATCTCATGTCAAACTGTTGTTTGCTCCCGATTTTCAGATGCTATCTGACAGTCATTGACTGCTGTTTGGACTGCCAGGCTTATAAAACAGAGGCATTTCAGATATGACATCTTACTTTTCTAGGAAACACTGAGATGAGCTTCATATGATTCACAAGCTATTTAAGAATAGCCACTATGTTCTAGGTTTCATCCTAGCTGCCTTTTTTTTTTCTTTCTTTTCCTGCAGGAAACCAGCTCCTAGTCCACGACATTTGTTTTATTTCTCCACCCTGACTGTGGCACAGGAAGAGCGTTCCTACCTCACCTCCCTAGACATCATTGAGTACTGATAAAAAAAATTAATTCAGCCTTATAAAAGGGTTATTGCCTTATTCCCAAATGGAGGGTATTGCAATTTTATGCACTGTCTAGTGGATCCTGTTTGGTGAGGACTCAGTCTTCTAAAACTCTATTGGTTTTGCCACTAATGCTATTAGGTATCTGCAGCGGGCAACTCCCTCCTGCCTTTTACCTCATCAGTGCACCCAGCAGGCTCTTAAAGAAAGGACAGAAATTTTAGCAAAGTGCTGCAGCATTCCTGGTAACCTTGATGGGTAATCAGAGAGAAGCTGGACAATCTGATGGGATCCCTACCTATCTCCCACTGAAGAATATATCTTCCATTGCTTTGAGCAAATTCACTATAAAAATCACAAGGTGTTGGTCACAAACTATTCAGGAACCCAAACCATCTCAGAGTCATGCTGTTTCTCCCCGTATTCAGCCTGTATTTTGTGTTAGCTTCAAATTTTTCTTCCTGCATCTCATAAATTCTTTTCTGCCCCTCACATCTGTGCCTTTTCACCTACACAAACATAATTCCCTCTTAATCATCACTCAGTTAAGGTCTATATTTCATCCTTTTTATCTTTTTCTCATGAGTCATTCCTATAGAGTGACAGTAATACTGTTACACTACATACTACCTCCAAATTTTCCAGCATCTCCATCATAACATTTTACCCAGAAGTGTAATCATGCTAAATCCATAATAAACAACTGTCTCTAAAATGCTTTTGCATATACTGTCTGAAACGGAAATGACAGCTTTGCCCCATGTAACTTGCCACTTCATATCTAATTTGCTGTCAGCAATTACACATATTTAAAACTATTAAACCAAACATATTTTCAGTTAGTGCATTTCAGATTATTTCACTTAGATACGCAAAAGATTTCCCCAAGTTTAATTTCTCTCCTGTGGAGGTTGCTCCCTTCATATAATTTCTGTGTTCTGACTGGCTTCTAGTTCTACATTGCCAATTCATTTCATTAGTGTGCTGTTTATCCTATCATCAACAGGATACACTTGAACACTAAATGAGTCTATCCTTCAGATGATTTCAGCAACCAAAAACTGCCAACCAAACCCATTCCCTGTATCGTTATCCTTTACTGAAGTGTAAGGGCATAATACTTATTGCATCTCCATATTCAATAAGGCCTCCTATTGAAAAAAGATTCAATTTCGTACTTTAAATTTAAGTGTAAGCAGTCCCACTACAGCCATGTCTTCATTGCAATAATGGAATAGAAGCCCCACTGTAATGCCGCAAACTGTTTAATTAGTTCGGCATATAAGCATTTCCATTTTCCTTTGAAAGGTCCTTTTCTTTCAAGAGTCAGAGAAGATGACACCTTTAAGGAACACCCTAATGAAATTTAGTAATTTCTTTTTTGTTTTTCCCCACAAGCCCTTTGAAACAGAAGAATTACCTTCTGTTCAAAAACTAAATGCATATTAAAAGGAAAAGCAATCCAGGAGCAGCTAAGCAGCTTTGCATAGTAGATACATTTGGATTAGTACCATGAATGCAACTACAATTTGAACACAAAATGGCTGTTGTTCAACACACACCACAGCAGCCTGCGTAGGGCTGCAGAAAGTAATAATCAGAGCCCCAGTGGACAACAGACAAATCTGTATGAAGAGCCAGCGGGGACAGGAGCGTTAAACAGCCAGTGCAGGTGGGCCACCCCTTGGCCAGAGGAGGTATATGTCTGTGACTGTGCCCCTCGGGCTGCTGAAATCTTCTTGCTGCAGTGCGGAGAAAGATGTTAACCAACGAGTTGCTATTTGCATGAAGAAAAATGAGCAAGTGGTAAATAAAGCATTGCCTGTGAAAGTTCACAACCCAGCCACTTGTATGGTCTCAGCACCAATTTATCTTTTGCCACCCCCACAAAGCACAGGAGCTATTGGCAACTGTGCACTAAGGAAAATCTGCTTGCTTCATTTACAGCCTGAAATTAGATCCAAACCCGTGAAAATACATACGAAAAACATGTGAATAGTTGATTCAGTCAGAAAAGGCTTGGAGAAAGCATGACATTTCAGCCTGGCATTTTATTTTGAAGTGCTTCATAACCAGTGCTCGGTCCTGATAACAGCTCTTCCAAAAGCCGGTGACCTGGCATCATGCTCTCCCCTCTGCAAATGCTGTGTCACTGCTCCCCTCTCACTGCCTTAAAGTGACCCCCCATGGAACCAGATTCCAAGTGTTAACAAACCACTGTCTATCTGCAGGCAAAGGGATGTTCCCTAGCCCAGGGGGCTAAACGTATATCACTTCACATGCCAATCTGGATTAGACTGATCAGCAAAATAATCCAAGTCAGATATGGAAGTACACACTTGTGAGCACCAAGAGGAGCAGCAGATACAGCTGGCATTATTTGCAGCCCACCTTCTACTTAGTGAATATTGAGGTGTTTCTTTGCATCACACCAGAGGAGAGCATTAAAGGGAACAAATGAAATGGCTTTGCAGAGATTTATGGAGATTTTCTAATGCAGAAAGTGGAGCACAGGAGAAAGTGCAAAGGCTAATTTGATTACACTGTTAGCCCTGTATAAATTTAATAATGGACTTGCTTCCACATTTCTCATCATGACCTATTTACATGTGTCCACTAACTTCAGTAGCTCAGCACCTCACAATCTTGAGCCAGTCTTCCCAAGCCACACCTGTGAGAAAGAGGAGCATTACTACTCCTGCACAGACAGACAGAAGCAAAGGAGATGTTAAAGATTCAGACAAACATTACTGAATTGATTACGGCTTCTCTAGATCAGGAACAATGTTCTTAAAATACTAATGAAATTATTTTATTCTTGTATGAGAATAAGAATTAGCAGATATTAAAAGGAACTGGCTTATCTCCTCAAGGCACCGAGTCATGAGCTTTAGCAGACGCTGAACAAGTTTGGGCAAGTGGCTTGGGTACACTTGCATGTACTGGACTGCTCTAGCCCTTGAGTAACTTGCTCAAGGTCACACAGAAGGTGTGTGGCAGACCTGAATCAAGTTCAAAGGCTATTAGAGCATCCATTTGCTTTTCTTCCTTACTTTTCCTTTTCCAGCACGTAACTGTGGATCAGGATCTACGCTAGCACATGTGGACATTACTGTAGTTCGAGGGTTCACATTCAGCACTTCAGTCAT